GCTGCACTCTTATTGTTGCCATTTATTTGCTTGTTTTTTTTTTTTCAATTTCGGTTATATTATCCAAATCTCTCTTAATTGTTTTTATTTTCTACCGTTATTAGATCCAGATCTATACTTAAACCATAAACGTTTAATATTTGAAATTTCTGACAAGATTAAAATGGTCTTGCTTGGTTGAATCAGTAATCTCCCAGTCAGCTTGAAACATTTTTTTGTTTGTTTGTTTCGATTGATCTTGTTTTTAAATTCCCTGTTAATAGCTTTACCAGATGCCCACAAGATGTAATTTTTTAAAAATCAAAGTGGAATTTTTAAAATTCAATACTTGATCTAAAACTTTATTATTCCCTTTTAAAAGTAATATTTTTTTAGAATACATAGCGAGTCGGGCGAGTTAAATTAGATGTGTCGGCTTAAAGGAAATAGCTATGTGGGTCAGTTTTAAGTCAGTTATTGGGTTGACATATAACATTGTCGAAGGATTATTTTTAAGCTTGCGGTAATTAAAAAAAGAAACGATATTACAGCGGCGTGTATTTCTATTATATTGACCGCGACATAACGAACGTAACTATCCGGTAATGGGGTGGGTAAACACAGGTACTTCACACCTGGTTGGATACAGCAGGTTGGGCCTCTGTATATTGGGCCACAAGAGGTTGGGCCACCATAGGTTGGACCACCACAGGTTGGATCACAGCAGGTTGGACCAGCACAGGTTGGGCCACCACTGGTTGGACCAAAAAAGGTTGAACCACAGCAAGTTGAATAAACACAGGTTGGACCCAGGGGCGTAGCGAGGGGGGGGGGGGCGGGGATGTGCGGACCGCACCGGGTGACACCATTTAGGGGGGTGACACCAAGGCAAAAAATATCAAAATATATAGAGAAAAACTTGAGGAAGGGGGTGCAAATCGAAAGTTTGAGGGGGGATGCAAATCGAAAACTTCCCCGGTAAGGGTCGCAACGCCTCTGGGGGGGGGGGGGGGGTGACACCATTAAGTGCCGCACCGGGTGACACCCGACCTCGCTACGCCACTGGTTGGACCACAACAGGTAGGACCACAACAGGTTGGATAAACACAAGTTGGACCACAAAAGGTTGGACCATCAAAGGTTGTAGACTATTTTCCTCTGTATTTTTCTGTTGATTGTCTATATTTTGTTTCTATAGCATCTCTAACACTATACTCTAACTCAGGGGTCTCCAAACTTTTCAGTCCGAGGGCCGCATTAACTATCAAATTTCAGTTCGGGGGCCAGTTTCTTCCAGGTATGTCTTTGGTTTTTCTGGCCAAAGTTCCTCAGCCATCACCAACAAACGATTTTTCCTTGGACAAAAAGATCTCCGCGGGCCGGATGAGAGGACTTCGCGGGCCGCATGCGGCCCGCGGGCCGTAGTTTGGAGACCCCTGCTCTAACTTATCCCTTTTGACCTACCTATTTGATTTAATCATGTGATCACATATCACTATGATTCTTTTTTTCAGTGACATGTTACATTTGTCTCTGACAATATCCACAGATTCCCTATCTATGACTTCCCCTGTTTTGTTACACTCATTACAGTGGCGTCTCATTACCATTGTCCCAAACAGTACAAAAAACAGCAACATATGTTATAGGTGAGGTTACCCCACAAACAATAACAACTGTATCCAATAACTATTGGATTAATTAAACAAAATTCATTAACAATTGATTGGCGCTGATTGCTTTAACACACATTTGTAAATAATATCTCAATTAGTGCTGACAGTTACGGTTCATTATTTTTTTCTTTTTTTTTTTTGTTTTTATACTTTTATTTGCAATTAAAACAAGTACATTATATCACATTTTTTAACATAATTTTGAACACCAAATGAAAACGAAAGACTTTGCAAATGTACATAATGAATATTTACATGATGTCATGTATTTGATTATAAAAAAAAATTGCAAAGGATGACAGTAAAAGGGGTGAAGGTCAAATGAAAGTGTCAGAAGTCTGGGTGGGGAGAGGAAAGGAAATTTTTCAGAGAAGGTCAATGGGACAGTGAAGCATTTTCTATGTAGGGAAACAACTTAAGTTGACTAGTTGAAAGGGTGTTGTAGTGGTCGCATTGAGTTTTCAAAAGGTTGCAGTGTGAAAGATGAGGGGAAAGAGACAAGATTTAGAACTTTAAATAAGTTCTGGATATTGATGTTGCGGTGGGTGGTGGGGTCGTTGGAACAGTTAAAGGGATTGTGGGGTTATCATGTCTGGGGGTAAAGTGGATAGAGGGGGAGAGAGGAGGGGGTAGATTTTTTTTTATTTTTATTAATTCAATTGTTTTAAACATTTAAATCAGTAATAATAATATATTTGATAGATTTTACATAGCATCAAAGACATGAACAATGAACATCAATTGCATATATAATAATCAAAAGGAAAAAATAAAATGGCATAAGAACTAGATTAAAATAAGGTGTGCAAACTAGGTTTCTCTTCACTGCTTAGTTTAGTGTGCTGCGGAGTCAAAAGTTCACACTGTAGCCACCCATGGACAGAAATAGAAACGACTGTGGGAGAAGTGTCTCTGTAATCACGTACTGATCTATCATTCCAAAACTTTCCAGGTTTCAGTTACGGTTCATTATACATGTTAATGAAATAATGCTGGACCTAATACGTGAAGATCAATTAGCAATGTTAAGACAACAGAGTATATGTAACGTAAGGTGGTAATTTGTTACTACTGTCTGTATCAATATTATTTTTCCCTTAACATATACGTTCATTAACGTTTTTTCTATAACTGTTTAATGTTTATTTGTCCATATGTTACATTTTTGTGGTTATTGATTTTATAGTAAATAAAGATGCAAGTAGCTGGACGGTAGGCGTTATTGTTGACGGGCAGGTCATGCGTGTAGAGTTACCGCGCCTAGTAACAGCTGCGGTCATGGGGGATATGTGTGTGTTCGTTCGTCTAAGCCCCGCGTTATAAAATACACCGGTTCACACGCGGATTTGGATAGTACATACTTGTACAATGGTAAGTGGCTGTTCTCTCTAAAGGTCTTTTTAAAATGTACATTCTTAAACTGATATATTAAACCAGAACTTTGTAATATTCAAGTTAAATTTCATGATATTTTAAACATTTTTATCAACTCGACTTTCTTTTAAAACCCAATGTCCCCTTTAATTTTAATAATTATATTGTATACTACCTTTTTTACCTCTAAGATACATTTGAAGGTGTTTTACTATTATCTGTTTAGCTTTCAAAAAAGTAAACATCGGAATAATCACTTTATGAATATGTAACTAAAAATTAAATGAGTTAAAAATCTTAAAATATATATACTGAGGTTCTACTATATGAAATACTTCAAACACCATTTAACGGTTTTTTAAAATGGGCATGTTTCATATATGAAGACAAAATAATCCAGATCTTACGAACCAACTTATTTTTTTTTATTTTCTTATCATCTGATTTGTCTATGTAAGCAAATCCAAAAGAAACGTAGCCTACGGGACATATTGTACATAAATGTGGACACCTAATACCTCATTGTGTTGGAAGAAATCCCTTCTAACATTACATTTAAGAAAAAAAGTAAAAAGAAAAATCCGTAAAAAATAATAAATTAATAACAAATGTTAAAAAGTGAGTACATAGTTAATATTTGTTTGTTTTGAAAATAGGCAGCTTATAAAATCTGCTCTCGTTTTACAATGTTACAAATGAAACCTAGGATAAAAGTAGAATAATGAAAGCGAAATTAGCGATGCTAATCACATTGTTGGCCTACCCAGATGTTACACTGTGAGCTAGCCTAATGCCTTTGTGTCGCTCGTACGGAAACATGAATATTCTGAAACTTGTAAGATCATTGCATTTATAATCTACTCACCTAACTCGTAGGCGGGATGTGTTTTTTTTTTTCAAAAGAGTTGGAGATTTTCAAAAATTATTTTGTCATTTTAGGGTCCAAGTAGAGGGGAATTTACCCCCCCCCCCCACATATACACACACTTAGTTACTACTCATGTTTGTAACTTTTAAAAAATGGTATTGAAACTAAAAAGTTTAATTTTAACTGCTACGTGTTAATAAGAAGGTTACGATAAACATAACGTTTTGACATTATTTACACAGTTGGAAACACATACAAATTTAATACCAAGGAATATATATATATATATATATATATATATATATATATATATATATATATATATATATATATATATATATAATTTTATTGCAAATTAAGAGGAAATAACTACTAAAAATAAATAACCAATAAAGCATCTTTTCTAGATAAGTAACTGAAAACTTATTAACCTACAGTTTTTAGGTCATTAGGAGCTAATTACAGTCTCCAGTATCACACTATGTGTCTATTGCCGTACACGAGATATGTGTTGTTGTTTAATTCACTGACATAAATGCAACTGTTTTGTCACGTTCAGCGTCTGTTAACATTACACTATGTAACCAAACTGTACTCGTGTAGCTTCTTTATCCGAGATATCACTTTACGTCACATATATCTGTGGTTGCAGTTTAACCATTGTGTGTTACTCAATCATCATTATCTATGTTTCAACTCATTTTTTTTATTTCAGAAAAATCAAAAAATTAATCAGAGTTCTAAATGGATGCTTGCAATTCTGCTATTAACTATTTTTAGCTACGGGACTGTGTACTGGCTACTTCCAACAGAATCTCTGAGATACCATTTAGGCATCGAAAATAAGACATACACAATTTATTCCTCTATGATGAAGTTATTTTATAAAACACATAACGAAACGTCAACTGTAGTCAACGACACTACAAGGAATCACACAAAGTCAGGAAATAGAAATGGTTCTGTTGTTGTTACTGTTCTGAATAAATTATCTTCTAAAAGTCCTCACATCAATCGCAAATATTACCATCTATTGAAAAACAAGCCATCCTTTATTATCTCAGACTACAGTGTCAAAGCGTCAAATTTATTGGAACAGTTGAAGCTACCCCCTTACATGCCAGTGACCGAGGCTTTATTAAAACACCCATCGTTCAGCAATGATTCCATAATGGAAGATCTAATCAGGTCAGGATTTGGTCTCCAGTCTTACGTCACGGAAACTGGTGAAGAAATCTGGACAGAAAATGGCGTCCAGTACCGCCCGTTTCCTTACAAAGAACCAAAAGACAGCAAATATTACAATTCAGAGTTTGAAGCCTACATTCCTTTCAATGAGACCACGTTTTTTGAAGGTCGACCAGCTCATCAATCGTTTAGAAATGGGACGAAAAAAATAATTCTATGGTGGCAGCATAAAGTCGGTCAGGCAAGCATCGACGGGCTAAAAACTTTGAAGGGGTGTCCAGAGTTTCCTTGTGTCATTGGCTCAGACAGGAAGTACACAGATGTCAGCAGTGCTCTACTTGTTGACGGTAAATAAATTTAACATTCCTTAGCTTCGCGTGTCGGAATATTTACATTGTTTTCACTAAATCACAATATGACACGAGAGGTAACTTTAAATTACAATTACAATACATTTACATTCTGAGAAAATTACATATAAAAAGCTCGACTTACACGTAGTTACTTGAAGAATAATATTTGTTTTGAGGTGTTTTTTAATGATGCCATTAATTAAATATTTAATGTTATTAAAGTTTTAACTTTTTTTTTCACTGAAATTTTAGCACAGTTTGTAAACAATGAACCCCCACCAACCCGTCGTGAGGACCAAGTGTTTGTCCACTACCACGTAGAGGCACCATCAGACAATGTATATTGGTGGTATGGTAATTTGTACGAGAAGTACGAAACCTGGAACACAGCATTCAACTGGACAATGTCCTTTAGACGGGACTCGGACATTCGGACTTACTACGGTCTAGTCAGAAAAAGAAAACACATCAGAGAAAAAAATTATACATCAATTTTAGCATCTAAAACGAGGCTGGTCGCCTGGTTTGTGTCGAATTGTAATACAAATTCAAAACGGGAAGAATATGTGGCAGAACTTCAACGGTATTTAGATGTCGACGTTTACGGGAAGTGTGGTCCTTTTAGATGCCCCAGACAGAATGACAGCAATTGTCGTGATAAAATTCGTAAAATATACAAATTTTACATAGCGTTTGAGAACAATCTTTGTAAAGATTACATTACGGAAAAGTTGTATAAATTCTTCGATTCAGATTTCATTGTCATTGCCCGTGGATCAAATTTCTATTCGAGTAATCTCCCTTCAGAAACTTTTATAAACACCGCTGACTTCAAATCTCCCGAGGAACTGGCTAAACGAATTCTATATTTAGATTCCCATGACGAGGCTTACATTGCAATGCTGAAAGAGAAAGACAAATACTTTAGCATCTACGAGGATTATCCGTTATACCGTATCGATCCTGTGTTCCTGGAGTATCGATATGAGGCAGTTCCCATGTGCCAGTTGTGTCAGCGGGTCTGGAACTTGGAGAAATATGCTAAAACTGTGCCAGATATACTGGCGTGGTTTGAAAACGAATATTACAAGTGTCAAAAAAATTAGGCAAGCACTTAATTTATTTTGATATATAAATGTGTTACAAGCATTTTAAGAAGTTTAATGTATTTCAATTCGTAATGAAAGCTTGAATACAAAATTAATATTTTAAATGTCAACTAAGAAGTTCAATTTTGTGAACTAAATTAATGTTTAATTTACTGTATTAAAATTGTCTAATATTGTTAGTATCTTAGCACTTTAATCTGTTGGCCCATACTCCGTGTACATAGTAGATTCATATATATATGTATATATATATATATATATATATATATATATATATATATATATATATATATATATATATATATATATATATATATATATATATATATATATATATATATATATATATATATATATATATATATATATATATATATTTATATATATATATATATATATATATATATATATATATATATATATATATATATATATATTCAAAGCAATGTTGAAGTTTTTTATTTTATAAAACATTCAAAATATTTGTCAGTCTTTTTGGAAGTATGAGATATTCATGCATCCAGCTATGTTGTATAAAATGATGACATATTACATACAGCACACGATATTTAGTAGTTTTTACAAACTTTTATTTACTTTGCAATGTCTGTTTGTTTGTTTTTGGGGCAAATCTTGCAACTCAATTTTGTCCCACTTTTAATGCAGCGATTTCGTTCAAACTTTCCAGATACGTTCCACATCAATGACAATACAAGTCTATCTATTTTTAAATTATCTAGATGTTTAATTAGTCATAAAAAAATTAAGTAAAACTGTTTCGAAACGAAGGGGAGATGACAAAATAAATTCGTTGGATAGATTACCATATGCAGCAGAAGGGGAGATAACTAGCTAGACGTGATCACTCTAACAGTTCACGACAATGTTTACAATCGTAGAGCCGTTCGATCTAGTGAAGTCTATTGGGGGTGGGGGGAATAATATTTTTAAACGAGTTGAAACGAAATTGCGGTAACAGAAGCTTGCTGTCGTTTGTAAAATTATGTCACGGAGGGTTGCTTCAGCGGGGCAGATAATCGTCTTTCAGATATTGCGAGCTTTTGATGATGTTTTGAAGGAAATATTTTTAGTTCTGTAGACTTCAAAAATTAGAAACCAATAAAAAGTAGAAAAAAAAATTTAATATAAACAGCTTTTATAACAACAAGCTTTTAAATGCACTGAAATTTGGAAAATAAAACAAATTTGCATTTTTAAATAAAAATTTTGGTCGCTCATGAGATCTTTTACATATTTTAGCGACAAAAAGATGCCAAGTGTTATACAATTTAATTATTTTTCTCCCGAAAGGGCCTTGCGTGTTGTATATGTCATGTCATTAAGCTTGACATTTTCTATTTTATGATAACACATGTAGGCAGTTGACAGGACAAGGTCACAGCACGGAGCGTACAGGTAAATAATATGGAAAGCAGCGTTATATATATATCAAAAGTCCGTCTCCTCAGTTTCACTGTTTTCGTTTCATGAGACATTAGGAAAACATCATATTTTATTTAAAGTTAAATGAAACTTTCAGTGCTATCAATATCAAGTGAAATGAATTATGAAACAATTATTTGCTTAAAATGTTTTTTTTTTCAAAATAAAGCTGAAGTGATATATCTTAGTCTTTCAAGTATATTAAATTTGTTAAAATTTATATATTATATATATATATATATATATATATATATATATATATATATATATATATATATATATATATATATATATATATTATATATGTATACACACATACACACACACACACATATATATATATATATATATATATATATATATATATATATATATATATATATATATGCAATTATATACACATGCATAATACTATTGTGCAGGTCATAAACTCAAGGACATCTGGAAATAATGCAACATTTTTAATGACTAATTATGCAGTTGTAATGTGATGAGGAATTTGTTTCGTTTAAAATCAATGTACATACGCACTTTCATTTAAAGACTTGCTAGTTACAATGTTTATTTAAAAGTATAACGAAATATTGAAATAATTTTCTAGTAGCTGCATTTGTAATAAATACAATCTTCAAGCAATAATATATATATATATATATATATATATATGTGACCTAGGCTAGTTGCATCTTTCCTGTTCGCAACGCCCAATGTGACCTTCCCCGAGTCTATCCTGCCCGACAACGCCAATTGTAACGAGTTGAACCACTCATGCTACACAACATCGACTACAGTAGAAAGACTCGAAGATGCAGGTTCGCTATTGATCCTTTTATTACATGAATCAAGAAATGCTTCAATATAACACAATGAATCAACAGAAATGTTTCACAATAATAGTCTGAATCAACTGACCCCCTAACAGTCCTCACTAGGCTTCATATAACTGAATCCACATGTCTATTGTCCTTCTTAACACAATATAACCAACTTGAGTATGTCACACAGACTGACTGATCTAAAGCCAGCGATCGAAAAGGGGAGAGAGAACGAGTTCTGCCGTCCCCTCCTATTTATGCCTTGTATCCGTACTCGTCTCCGTACTTGTATTCCTCCGTAATCGATACTTGTACTCGATGTCTCCGACCACTAGTTGCGTAGTTCCAACGTACAGTCCGTGAAATAACATCTGCATCCTATCAATCAAAGTTGACAGGCCTTCTGACTCTCTTCGTACCGTTTCCCAAAATAGCACGCGTTGGCTTTGAGATTGTTATCAGTCCGACTTCAATAAGCCACCTGTTATGTTGCGTCAGACTGCAACACTGCGTCTCGGCTTCTCGTTCGTTATCAGATTTGTAACTAGTGGCTAGGCCTACCCTAGTCACATCCACCCCTGCCTTTTTTTGTGTGTTTTCAACCACAAACAACGCCTGGCAGGTGCACTCCTCCAGAGTCAATCGCATAATCGTAAAAAAATTTTATTGTTCCACTCACTGTCCACGACGTCCCATTCGTATACGATTGACAGTTATACCTATTTCACATCTCAACTGTGTCTACATCGTCTTCCTGAGACACAAAACAGTTCTAGAATTCACATCCACCCTTTTCGTTTGGTGACTTCACCAGTTCACTTTTATAGCTTTTTGAACAGTCTGTTCTCATACCAGCGCGACCATGAAAGACTTGATGGTTGCTGACAAAAAATTTCGTCTTCCTTCTGTTCCTCAAACTTCTCCGCGGACCACTTATCTGATGGTCTACTGTCTCTCTGCTTCTGGAAGGAACGGGATCCTCTTTGTTGCCGTTATCCTCCACTTGTGTATCGCGGTTGTTCTGATGATGGTGATATGGTTCCGGGATGGGTATGTGAATTTCCGTTATAGTTTCCGGTTCCCTAATTGTCTTGGATTTCCTTGTGTGTAACTGCTCTTCTTGCCTATTCCAATATTTCTTTAATTGAGCAATATTCGCCCACCGATCCGGTTTGGCGTGATCGATGGGTCTTATCTTAAAGGGGCCACCTGCTGCTTTAGGCATCTCCACGACTTGCCATATCTCCTGTCCCCAGAGATCGTGGATTTTGTTTCTGCCTAACGGGTGACTACGCAGTAATACCCTGTCATTCAGTTTGAGTGGCGGGTCCTTTGTCTGTACCGGCGGTTCCCTTCGCCGTGCTTCATGTTCTAGTCTTTCCTGTACTACCCTGTACATTTCTCTAATTCTTCTCATATGTTCATTCACATATTCCAGTGCGGTGTATGAGCCAGTCATACTCTCCCTTTTTCCTAGGAACAAATCAAGAGGGAGTCGAGCCTCCCGTCCGAACAGCAACATGTATGGCGTAAAGCCGGTTGTGGCATGGGGTGTGCAGTTGTATAGATATACCAACTCTGGGAGAAAATCAGGCCAACGTTTTTTCTGTTCAGGTTCTAGCGTACGCAGCAAATCATGCATGCTGCGGTTGAACCGTTCACACTGTCCGTTTCCTTTCGGATTAAATGTGGTTGTTCTAGATTTGTTAATCCCGTAGTGGCTGCACAGTTGGTTAATTACTTCTGACTCGAAAGCCCTTCCTTGGTCAGAATGTAATTGTCTTGGTATGCCATATTTGATGAACCAATGTTCTATTAAGACCTTTGCCACTGTTTTGGCAGTCTGATCTCGCGTGGGCACCGCCACCGTCCATTTGGTGAATACATCAGTCATTACCAACACATGTTCCGTCCCATCCGATGATTGCTCCAACGACGTAAAGTCCATAGCCACAATCTCTAGTGGTTTTGTCGCTAGTAGGTGTCCTGATGGCTGTCTCATTTTGACAACTGGCATTTTCGCATGCTGACACCTCACACAAGCCTCACAATGGCGTTTGACCTCCATTTCCATATTGGGCCAGTAACACCTCCGTCGTAATATTTTGTGCGTCCTGTCCTGACCCTGGTGTCCTGCCCTGTCATGTGCCAACCTTAGCACTTCTTCTCTTAACTGTCCAGGCACCACCACCTGGTGTATTGTCCCATCAATTTGGTCATGAATTCTCCGCATGAGAACACCATCCTCTATACTGAGACGGTCCCACTGACTCAGTATTTTCTTTGTTTCTCGACCAAATTGTTCTCTTTCCCTTCTTCCTGGGAATTTTTGTTCCTGGACGTGTTTCAACAGCGGCTGTAAGCCACTATCCGTTCTCTGGGCATTTCTTATCTCTTTGTGATTAAGGCAATTAAAATCACCAATGTCCATATGTCCGGGCTCTGTGGAAATGTGCTCCACCCCGGTCTGTCCGTTCTGCCTCACTTGCACCCCGTGAGGGATATCTGTTGACGCTCTGACCTCACATATTCCTGTCAGCGTTTCTTCCTCATCGCCCGGTCTCTCGTAAGGATTCCTTGATAGGGCGTCCGCATTGCCATTGGACCGCTCCGGGCGATACTTTATCTCTAGGTCAAAGAGTGCCAATTCTGCTGCCCATCGCTGTTCGATGGATCCCAACTTTGCTGTCTTTAGGTGACTCAAGGGGTTATTGTCAGTGTATACCACACATTTAGCACCTAATAGATAGTCCCTGAATTTCTCAGTCACAGCCCATTTTAATGTCAAAAGTTCTAGTTTCATGGCGCTGTAATTTGTCATGTTCCTCTCTGATCCCTTCAGAGCTCGACTTGCATACGCAATAACCCTGAAACCTTGCTTTTGTTGTTGTGATAGCACAGCTCCCAGACCTTTAGAGCTGGCGTCAATTTCTAGCCGAAATGGTTTGTCAAA